TTGTTTACAGTATTGGGGGAATAGAACTTAGGGCACTCACTGAGCTACATCCCTATCCCTTTTTTTGTTATGTTTTTCGAGACAGTCTCGCTATATAGTTCAGGCTAGACTTGAACTCACCAAGTAGCCCAGGCTGGCCTTGAACTCACAGCAACCTTCCTGCCTCAGCCTTGCAAGTGCTGGGATTAGAGGCCTGCACCACCACACCCACCACACCCGGCATCTGTAGCCCTTTAAAACTTTTTTAAATTTTGAGACAAGTTCCTGTCAAACTGCTTGGGTGGGCCTTGAATTTATAATCCTGCTTCAGCCTCCGCATGTCCTGGGATTACAGGCATGGACCATGCCGACCAGCTTAAAATTGAAGTTTTCATTAACAGCAAAATGACACAAGTTTGAGATCTTGGGAAACCTCATTTGGGTACAAAGGTAATTCATTTTGAAATGATGGCCTCTGAATATGGTCAAACTTCCAGAGGATAATAAATAAGAGTTCCCCTCACCCCAATACCTGCAGAGCCAGCCTATTGTTTTGCTATTGTTCTAAAGAGAACAAAGATTACAACCCCAGCGGGTCTTGGGACAAGAAAAGATCATAAACATCCCTATGGGACTTCTAACAAATAGGTCAGCCCAAAAGGGGGGACAGGACAGTACAATCACCTAACATAAGCAATATTTACTTATAAAATGATACCTGGAAAATGTTATGCTACGGTTCTACTGATAGAGTGGGCTTAAACCTATGTACCTTTGAAATGAGATCAGTGGGAGAACCAAGAATGAAGGATGTTAGGTAACAGGGTGCCCGGGGGCCAGACCATTCCTACACAGGGTCACTGTCCACTTTACCACTTACTTCACCTCCTGTGGAGAAAACCTCACCAAATCATCCCAACAGGCACACAGCAACAGTCCTACAACCCAAAGAAGTCGGTCTTGGTTGCTGGTTTTTTTTTTTTAGTACTGGATCGAACTCAGGACCTTGCGCTTTCAAGGCAGGCTTGGTGCCACTGAGCTATATCCCCAGGCCAAGAAGAGGTCAGTTTTGAAGATTATACCAATACACTAAAAAAAAAGCCGCAGTCAGCCTGGTGGCACAAGCCTGTAACTCCAGCACTCTGGGAGGATGAAGTAGGAAGATCACAAGTTTGAGCCCAGCCTGGGCAACTTAGTGACTTAGCAAGACCCTATCTCAAAATTAAAAATTAAAAATTAAAAAAAAAAGGTTGGAGATATAGTTCAGTGCCCACGCCCTGAGTTCAATCCCCAGTACCGCCTTAACAACAAGAAAAAGATTTGGTTTATCCTAGACTGGGAAAAGGAAGGCCTCTCTTACAGCCCCAGGTAACTGGAAAGAGGGATGCTGCCAGATTGAAAATCTGAGTTCTAATTTCAATTTCTGCAGTAAGCCTCATTCTATTAATGAGAGGTTTACCATATAATCGAGTAAGACAGCATTATTCATTCAAGTTCTCCAATCTCAAAAGAAATCTTAGAAGCACTGAGGAAGTGAGGGAGAGAGACATTATTAGCAACATCCTTGAAACTCATAGTAGAATGTGAACTCTTGCCCCTGAGCTCTGCCCATCTGACTACTTTCTTCCACAGTGCCACCAACCAGCTTAGGACAAAGGTATCACGAACTCTAGTCATGCTTCTGGCACATATAGTGATGATCACCACATCTTTCTCAGTACTTATTATTAACTTTTTACTGCTGTTTTTGTAGTAAAGTATGATTTTCTTTTCCCAAGAAAATAACATTCCTTTAACACAAACAATCTTTAGAAAATCGTAAAGGGAATCAGAGAAATACATCTACATGATGACTGTTAATCACAATAAGTAAAAATTACATAAAGACCACATAATTACAAAGGAACTACCCAAGAGTAATGGGTGTTTAGCCTCCAGTTAGTAATCATCTACAAGATATATATCAACAGGAAAAAGATCCCAAAAAACACCCCAAAAAATGAAAAGAAAAAAACTCAAACTCAACTCATGCACAACTTCCAGAAATTTTGCAAATATAAACTAAGAATGTGAAATGAAGAAATCACTTTTTTCTCATAAAACGAAGAAAAGAAAACGATCTCAGGTTCTAAGGACATTCACGAAAAGTCCATCCCAATAGTATTTGCGGCCTGCCTACTACAACTACCTTAGTCTTAAGCCCAGAGACAGAGTAGCTTTCCAGACTTTCGAGAAGAAAGACCATCGTCCACGCACACACCGGCCGGCCCCTCCAGTCTCACATCTGGGGATCTGGACCAGCAGCTTCTACCTGAGGACCAACAGCAAGGCATCCCGCACCCTGTGGGCAGGGCAGCACCCCATCCTCCTCCCTGTCCTGCCTGTTCCACTCTAAATGATGTATCTGAGAAAGGTGAGAAAAGAAAAGGCTGCAGATGCAGCTCAGTGATACAATGCACAATCAGTACGCCCAAGGCCTAGGTTCAATCCCTAGTACCAAAAAAAAAATGTTAAAATTACAGTGTATAGGGCCAGGGATTTAGCTCAGTAACACTGTGCCTGCCTCACAAATGCAAGGTCCTGAGTTCAATCCCTGGTACCAACAAAAACCAAAAAATTACACTATGCATACAAGCCTGGAAAAGAAATATGTAATATTTAATTCATTTAACTTATCAACTTGGTTCATAAATTGATGGGAAATAAATGTTATAAACTGGCATGGAATTAGTTCCTTTTTGGAGGGGGTATTGGAGATTAAATCCAGGGTCTTCCCACTGAGCTACAAGCCTAGCCCTTTAAAAAAAAAACCAAAAAAACCCCCAGGATCTCACTTTGTTGCTCAAACTGGCCTTGAACCATGGAGATCCTCTGGTCTTGGCCTCTTAAAGTGCTGGGATAATAGCCATGCACCACCACGCCCAGCCATCTGCAGTCTTTCAGTTGCTAAATTTCCTGGGCTGGGTGTGAACTTCTGATCTTCCAACTTTAGCCCAGGGCGCTGGGATTACAGTAGTGTGCACAAGTAGCTTGAAACTGATTCTTAAATGGCTGTTATCAAGAAATCAATCAATAACAAATGCTGGAGGGGCTGTGGAGAAAAAGGAACCCTTCTCCACTATTGGGGGGTGCAGACTGGTACAACCAGTATGACAATCAGTGTGGAGATTCCTCAAAAAACGAAAACTAGAGAGAGATTACATTTGACCCAGCTATTCCCCTTCTTGGTATCTTCCCAAAAGAATTAAAAGCATCACACCACAGTGATATATGCACACCCATCTTTATAGCAGCACAATTTGTAATGGCTAAATTTTGGAAATAGCCCAAATGCCTATCAACCAATGAATGGATAAAGAAGACGTGGTTTTTTTCTATAATGGAGTACTACCCTGCCATAAAGAAGGATTTTTTTTTTGGTACCGGGGATCAAACTCAGGTCCTTGCTCTTGCACAGCAGGTGGTAAAACCACTGAGCTAAATCCCCGGCCCAAGAAGGATGATCTTAAGACATTTATATAGCTAAATGGATCCAAGTTGAGACTATACTACTGTTAAGTGAAATAAATCAAGCACACTTGTTTAAATACCTGTTTCTCTGGTGTGAGAAACCAAAGTGGAAATAAGGACTAAAATCTATAATACACATTCAGAAATGGAAAGAAAACGTTCAAATGAGAAGGGGCACAAGGAAGGAGGGAGTGAGGAAAGAAGAGACAAGAAAATCGAAAGAAAAAAACCCCTTTTATACATAAGGGAAGAATGGGGGAAAAAAAGAAGCAACAGGAGCCAGGGATTTTGCTCAATGGTGCGGCTGCCTGCCTTGCAAGTGTAAGGTCCCGAGTTCAATCCCCGGAACCAAAAAAAAACCCAAAAAAAACAAAAACAAGAAGCAAGATATCTCATGTACAGTTACAAATTCCCTATGATGAATGTTTGGTATTTGGTACCGGGGATTGAACTGGGGTCTTTGCGCTTGTGAGGCAGGCTCAAGGCAGGCGTCAGAACCACTGAGTTAAATCCCCGGGGCCCCTATGATGAATGTTACCATTATGTATATTTAAAATGTACCAATAGATGTTTTTCTAACAAAAAAACCAAAACTGGTTCTTAAGATATTTTTTTAAAGATATTTATTTATTTTTGGTACCAGGGATCAAACTCAGGACCTTGCGCTTTCGAGGCAGGCGGTGGAACCACTGAGTTAAATAAATCCCTGGCCCAAGATATTTATTTTTTAAGGTGATAAATTCTCAACTCAAACTCTACACATTGCCACTTCAGGCTACCTAAAACTCTACTATCATGAGGCCTCACACTGAATTCTCCTAGACTTACTTCTGGAGTCTACTCCACACAGTTTTATCATCTCTGCTTCAAACTATCCAAGAAATCTGCCCCCCTCCCCCGGCAAGCGTCACCCTGCTACACCAAATTCAGATAACCCCAAGATACAGACTCTGTGATTACTGAATAGAACTACTTTAAACACTCCATGGTACTCAGGATAGGAACCCCGGCTCTGCTTGTTCCAAATACAGGGAAATAATTCCATAAGCTATGCCATAAGGACTATATTGACAATTAAGATCCTTGTGTCCACAGAGCAGAACAAATTTCTCCCTTAGGGCCTGGGATTTAGCTCAGTGGTTCCGCTGCCTGCCTCACAAGCACAAGGTCCCAAGAGTTCGATCCCTGGTACAAAAAACAACAAAAAAAAATTTCTCCCTTGGACACAACACAATCCTACTCAATGATCTGGTTTCCCTTGGGCATTTCATATTTCATTCCTGCTCAGTACTAGTGGCAATGGAAGGTGACGAGGTACAGTACCAACTTTTTACACTGAAACTTCTTGGGTACTCTGAAGAAATAGGAAAAGACTGATCTTTTCCCCCACAGTCAACACCAGTATTGCAAATGCTATTACTCGAAAAGTTGTCACACTGCGCCCCCCAGAAAAGCCCCTATTTGGTTATGATCCCTTCTCTCCCAAACCCAAAAACCCAAGATTGTCTTACCCTCTCTCTCTCTTTCTTCTGTTGTCTTATTCCTTCTCCTTTCCAGGGCTCCTGAACTTTCTGTAAACAAATTGCCTGGGTTACAGGAGCCAGCAAGGGTGCAGCCACCACAGAACTGGAAAAAGCTCAGGAATTCCTTGACAGTCAGCAGTCAGTCTGGAAAGCAGACTCCCAACCAATAATTCAAAGATGGAAGGGTAGAGTAATGGGAGTTCCGTGCCACCCTATGTGGATAAAAGGGAAATAAACGCAATTCCTAGAAACTAAGATGAACTATCATCAGCGCTGGGATTCCACTCCTAGGCTCAAGACACTGACTGTCTCCCCTTCCCGGCCACAGGTAACCATGGGTCAGGGAACACTAGAGATGGAGGGGAGGAGGGTCTCTGCCAGAGAAGGGGCCTCAGAGGGCAAAGCTGAAAGGCGGGGTGGGGTGGGTGGGATGCACTCGCCCTGTGTCAGGCACAGTGCCAAGTTCAGGCCCAGCTACTTCCTCTAGCTTTCCCCTACTTCTGCGAGGACTTCGCCCCCTGCCTACCCGAGGCCCGGTGCCAACAACTACCTCCCTCAGCCAGGACAGTGGTCTACCTACTGGGGACCCCAGCTGTCCCCCCCAAACCTTCGATCCCCTGAGACAGCCCGGGGGAGCTTTCTCCTGATGTCACCGCCCACTCCGTCCTCCAAGACCCTTCCTCGGGACGTCCCTCCTAGCCCCTCCAGGGAGCTGAACTCTGCCACCCACCAGACAGGCACCCGCCCCCTAGGCCCCCCCATCCCTCCCCATCGCCTGCTCCTGCACAACCACTTCCGGTTCCGGGACGGTCACTCACACTCACACCGTGGGTCCCCTCCCCCCAGGAAGAAGGGGGGGGGAGAGGGCGCTCGGCCAGCGCCAGCCGCAGCGGCGCGAGACTCACCCGGCGGCAACGGCTGCGGCGGCGCCAGCGCCTGAGCCGGAGCGCGCGAGGGGCGGCGTGCGCGGGGAGGAGGGAGCCGAACAGGGCGGGCGGGACGGGGAGAGCGCGCCGCGGGACGCGGACACGCACTGAGGCGCGAGACGGGCTACACACTCAGACGCGACGAGAGCGCGCCAGACCCCCCCCGTAGGCGGGGCGCGAGGCCGTGGGTGGTCCCCCGCCCTCCCGAACACTCACCCGGAAGTGCTGGAGCCGGAGCTCCCGGGAACCCCAATTCCTCCACGCCCCCTCCTCCCTCCCCCCACAGGCTCCGGAGAGAGTCGCTGTGGAGAGAAGGCGGGAGCGCCGGAAACGAAAAGGGGGGAGGGAGGGAAATAGCGAGGGGGTGGCAGTGAGGAAACAGTGGGAGTGCGAAGCCCGAGTCACTTCCGGGAGTGGTCAGGACACTTCCGGCGCTGTTAGCGATCCGGGATGTTCGGGCGGAAGTCACGACACATAGGGGCGGAAGTGGTTTCTGCCTAAAGAGCTGTAAAAAAAAAAATTCCTCGGTGGAAGTGACATCGCAGCGGAAGTGAATACAGGTTCGCCTGAAGCTGAAGCTTAAGAACTGCGATCCCGACTTCCGGAAAGGGAGTTCTGGTGAAGTGGGAGGGTGGAAATGCTACAGGTTCATGAATTATGCATCAGGTAGGGGAGCGGTATGGATTCTTAAAGATAGGGGTCTCCTTTACTTTCCCTGGAGTAGGCCGATGTAGGAAGTTACCATCTTTTCTTTTCCTCTACTTCAAGAATGTCTCGATGCTTTGAATATGCCAGAAAAGATAAGGTAGTGTGAGTACTGTAGTTGCCTAAGGTCCCTTCTTTGGCTGAGGGCCTTCAAAAGCCAACTTTTCTCTGACAACACTCCCTACTCTCTGGTCTTGCCACCTCCACCCACCTCGCTGTCCCATTACCTCGATTTACTCTTTGGCGGGAGGGGGGGGAAGGTGTTGGGAATTGAACTCATGGCCTTAACGATGAGCTACATCTCTCGGCCTTTTTTTTTTTGAGATAGGGTCTAAGTCGCTAAATTGCCCAGGCAGAGCTGCAACTTTATCAGTCCTGCCTCAGCTTCCCAGAGTGCTGGGATCACACGCATGTGCTAGCACACCCAGCTAGACGTGCCATTTAATAAGTGGCCTGTGAACGATTGTTGCAGAGATGAATTACAGTTCATTGTGATCACTTAGTATGAACTTTTCCAGGAAGCCTTCCCTGATTACTCCAACACAGTTTCTCTGAATACTCACAGCATTTAGTCTATACCTTTTTAATATTATTTTAGCTGGGCTGGGGATTTAGCTTACCTCAGTGGTTTCACCACCTGCTGTGCAAGCACAAGGACCCGAGTTTGATCCCCAGTGCCAAAAAAAAAAGAAATTATTTTAGCTACTTAATGAATTCGATTCCCCAGAAAGATTGTCAGCTCCTCAAAGAAGACATTGCTCACATTACATTGCTGAGTGCACAGTAAGTGCTGAATAAATACCCTCTGAGTGAATGAATTCTGCCACAACCCTGCGCCTTACCTGGCCAGAACCTTTCTAGGCTCAGCTCTCTTTTAGCTGAAGCAGAACTGAGGTATCTCCTATTAACAGGAATAGCGGAATAGCCCCTGGCTGAGAAAGCAAGATTACCTTAACAAATACACTAAGTCCCTGATTTGAACATTCGAGTTGCAAAATTTAACAGATACAAACTGGACCTTGCATTACACACATTTGTAGATGGAACAAATCGTGGAAGTAGCTCACGAGTCTCCCAGACATTGTCACAGCCCTGCTGCTGTGTGCTCACTGTGCAGTGCAATAGTGTGCAGTGGTACAGTGCTCAGTCAGAGCCCAGGATGTCCTGAACAGAGAGGAAAAGCAGTGGTGATGTGGGGGGGACTGGCAGGAAGTGCAAAGCAGTAACCATGGAAACAAGCAAAAATAATTGAGAGATTGGATTGAGGTGAAAAGATAGTACACGTCACTTGTTCTGAAAACATGAAGCATTCAGCCATTGGCACAATTCTAAAGAACGAGGACAAGATCATGGAACATATGAAGTCCACTGTGCCAATGAAGTCAACAATAATATCCATGCCTGCCTCGAAAGCGCAAGGTCCTGAGTTCGATCCCTGGTACCAAAAAAATAATATCCAAAAAGTGTGGTACAATGATAGAGGAGATGGTGAAACTTCTCAAGTATTTGGATGCAGGATCAGCATCAGCATCCAGACCGATTCAGCTCACTGCTTATTCAGAAAAAGCGAAAAGCCTATTTGAAGACTTGAAAAAAGAATAAACAAGGTGCATCTTTTACTGCCAGCCATGGACAGTTTAAGATTCAAGGCTAGAGGCAACCTTTGCAGCAGAAAAGTGTGAGGCTGTGAGAGCAGAGACCTTAGCTGCCCAAGAATTTCCAGCAGCACTTACTACTACTCAAGCTGTCACTGTATCGTTTTCCAAGAGGGTAGATGGAATTGAATCCATCAAAACACCTGTGTCACCAGCATCAGGTGAAGTGAGACTTCATCTTGCCCTCCGTGTCCTGCTGCTGCTGCCCCTTCAGCTCCTGTCACCTCTCACCTCCCTCATCCAGTCAGTAACTCCCCTTGTCCACTCACCCCATGCATCCCCAGTATGCCTGCTGTTGCACTGCACTGTACTACCCTTTGAAGATAACTGTAAAAGTAGTTTATTTACAGCATTTTTGTGTTTGGTTTATGCTTTACATTGTGTATTTGTGTCAAAGGTATGTAAGACTTATTTTGTCAGACTACAAAAGGATCTGACCTAAGAATGTTCTCCTGGAATGGAACGTGTTTGTAGGTCAGGGACACAGTGAGATGATAATGCCTTTTTTTATGTGTGTGATACTGGGGATTAAACCCAGGGCCTTCGCACTACCCTACGTACCTCTCCAGACCCTTTTATCTTTTTTGATACAGGATCTCCCTAAGTGGCCCAGGTTGGCCTCAAATTTACTATGTTTTGTTTTGAGACAGGGTCTTGCTTTGAAGTTCAGGCTGGCCTTAAACTCTATGAATTCACTTGCCTCAGCCTCCCGAAGCTGTGATTACAGGCCTGTGCCATCACACCTGACTAGTTTGCATCTTTTTATTTTATTTTTGAGACAGGGTCTCGCTATATAGGTGAGGATGGTCTCTAACTCATGGCAATCCTTGTGCCTCAGCCTCCTGAGCGCTGGTTCACAGGTGTGGGCCACCACACCCAGCTAGTTTGTATCTTTTTTTTTTTTTTTGGTACCAGGGATCGAACTCGGGTCCTTGTGCTTACGCAGCAGGCCGCAAAACCACTGAGCTAAATCCCCAGCCCAGTTTGTATCTTTTTAAAGTATCACCTAGGCATAGTGGCACATGCCTATATCCCAGCACATGGGAAACTGAGGCAGGAGGACAGTTGCAAGTTCAAGCCCAGCCTGAACTACACAGCAAGCAAGACCCTGTCTCAAAAAAATAAACTGTCTACTCCTCCTATCACAATATGGGGCTCAGCACTCAATGTGTGTTGACTAAGTAGCAACAGTTGGCAGGATAAACAGCTTAAAAGTTCAGCTGTGAGGGGCCAGGGATTTAGCTCAGTGGTTTTGCTGCGTGCTGCGCAAGGGCAAGGACCAAGGACCCGGGTTTGATCCCCAGTTCCAAAAAAAAAAAAAAGTTCCGCAGTGACACGCCTGTAATTCCAGTTTCAGGAGGCTGAGGCAGGAAGATCACCTGAGTTCAAGGTCAGCCTGAACTACATAATGAGGCCGTCTCAAAAAAAAAAAGTTCAGATGTGACCTGCTGTCTGGTTAGTGATGGTTGATTTCAGAAACTGAAACCTTAACTTTGGGCAGCAGTAGGGCTGGGGATTTAGCTCAGTGGCACTGCACTTGCCTCAAAAGCACAAGGTCCTGAGTTCTATCCCTGGTACCGGAAAAAAAAAAAACCAAAACACAAAACTTTGGGCAAGAGTAAAGAAAAGTGGAAAGACCGGGGTGATGCCGCACGCCTGTAATCCCAGCACTCGGAAAAGTGGAAACAACAGCAGTCATCGCTGTAAGTTCTGGTTCTCTGTACATTTAACTGGCCGCTGCTGAGCCCTCAGTGCCTCTCTCTGCCTGCCATTTCTGCCCTTGGGTTGAGAAGCAAGTTCTGTGGTAATCTGAGGAAAACTGAGGCAGAAGGAATGAAAGTCCTAGCCTGGGCTCAGAGCAACCCCTTCTCAAAAATTAAAGGGAGGCTGGGCCAGGAATTTAGCTCCTTGGCACCACGCCTGCCCCGCAAGCACAAGGTCCTGAGTCCAATACCCGGTACCAAAAAAAAAATTAAAGGGAGGTCGTGATATATCAGAGCCCCATCCGCATAGGGATTGTAGCTCAGTGCAAAGGCCTGGTCTCAATCTCCAGTACCACCAAAAATAAAAAGAGAAAGGAAAAAAAGCAAGTTCTAAGTGCTTTGAACTCCTTTGGGCAAGGCTAGTTGAGAGCACTATGCGAGGGGCACAGGGGAGGACTGTTGGCTTCAGCCTGAGGTTCTCCAGCGCCATGTCATCTCCATCTCCAGTCACTTCCGCACCGAGCTATGCAGTGATCACTCCTCGGGGCTGCCCCATCCCCTGGTGGTCTGCACCACAACGGTAAGCATTCCCATTCCGGAAACTGCTTCAGAAGCCTGGCTGTTACCGGCCGCACTGCCAGGCAGCAGACAGAGTACTGCGAGGAGCGATGCTGCTGCCAGTGTGCCTGTGAAGTGTGACCTCTAAACCTTTCGTCCCCAAAGAGCACTGCAGCTGCCGCGGTTTGGCCCCGGCTGGCGGGCGACTGTGTTCTCACTTGCTGCCTTCTGAGACCTGGCAAGGCCCCTCAGTATGTTTCAGCTCCAGGACTCGGGGATGAAGAAAAGCTAGGTTCTGTTCCCCGGGGCCTCCAGACTCATCGTTAGCATGACAATGTGGCCTAGTTTGGGACAGTCCCTCTAGGACAGTGGTGGGTGGCAGCCTGGGCTGCTCTATCAGTGAAAGCTCTAGGACAGCTTGGAGGCCTAGGACTGTCTCCTCTCCTCCTCTCTTCAGCGCCTGACTTTGCATGGGGATGAGGGACACTTAGGGAGAGGGAACAGGTGAGGATTCCCAGTGTCTTGGTGTATTTTAATTTATTTAAATTTAGAAAAATAGTGGCTAATCATGCAGTAATTAACTCCATCTTCATTAGGGGCCTCCGATGTGTGCCTTCTGCATATTGATGAGCCACAGGGTCACGCTGTCCCTCTGAAGGGACACGGCTGAAGGTGAGTGCTCAGTGAGCTCAACAGCGCTTGAGCTGCTCCCCCTTCTGTGTCAGTGCTGCTCTCTGCTCCCACAGCCGCCCCAGAGAGGACTGCCTACATCACATTGCTGTGGGGGCAGGGAAGGTTAAGAGGGTTCCTCTCCCACCCTCTCGTCCCCACAAGGCCCATCAGCACCTGGCTCTCCCTCTCTCCACCAGCCGCCTGCTGGGATCTCTGGGCATGGGAAGTCGGAAGTCCATGCAGCCCTCCTCAGAAGGCTGGTTTGCTGGCCTCTTTTTTTCGTTGGCTCCTCACCCATGACCCTGCTTGTTTCCTTCCTCTATAGCAGTCTGTCCTTTTCTGAGGGAGTCTGATGCCCCAAACACACACACTGACCCAATCCCGGAAAACGGTCCTTCTTCCCCATATGCACTGCAGCAGTGAGACTCCCAGTACCAGAACACATGCCTACCAACACAGACCCAGCCCTAGTTCTGCTGTCAAGGGTAAACACGCGAAGGGAGGTACCGTGTCAGGCAGGGCACCCACACTGCCCTCCTGCATACCACACTCTCCTCTCCTGCCTGGGGTTACCCTGTTTCCAGGGAGCAGGTGGGGCACCCATGCTGGGGGGTGGGGGGTGGGACCTGGGTGACTGCCACAGCAATGGAGTCTAGTGACAGCTGATCTGATCTGTGGGCTTTCCCAGAGCTGTTCTGTGAGCCAAACCTAGCTTGGAGGTGACTGATCCTAGATGGGCAGCTGCCTCCCCTCCCCAGACACACCGGCCCCACCCCCAGGCCCTAGCAGGGCCTCTTTCTCTGGGAGGACGGAGTGGGGAAGCTAACAGCGAACAACCACAGGACTTCTACTGCCACATGGCTGGAGGGGCAGCTGTGGGTGGGGGCAGGTTAGGAAGCAAAGAGCAGAAAATAAACCCATCAGGCTGGCTCCTTCCTCTGGCTCAATCATTGTTTTCCTTTGCCCCATTTTTCTCTTCTATCCTTCACCCTCTGGCTGCATTGCCTGTCTTCATATGTATTTATCCCCTTTTATTCATCTCCTTGCTGTTGGTCTCTGTTGACCTTCACTTGTGAGGAACAAGCCAGACACACTTCCAACTGCAGTTTCCACCCTGCACGGCTGCTCACAAGGCTCCCTTCCCTCCTGCTTTCCTTCTCCCCTCTCCTGTCCCCAGCTGCAGGGCAGGGCAGAGTGGCAGGGTCACAGTGAGTGTGTAGGGTCCCTACTTCATCCTTTCCCCTTCCTGCCTGCCCGCCCTTTCTCTTCTCCTCTCAACAGACAGAACAGGGGACTCAAGTATCTTGCAAAGGCTTTATTTGAAAATTTTGAAACTTACATCCCACAAGAATTCAAGATTATCACCACAAGAAGAAGAAAAAGATAATACAAAAATATATATCACAGCATAGGAGCCAGGTAAGAAGGGAGGGAGGGAGGTGGAGACACTAGTGAAGGGCAGGAGGCAGAGGGGAGGAAGGAGAGGCGGGCAGGAGGGGGAGGCAGAGCCCCCGATGGCCTTGACCCAGCTGGCTCCAGTCCTGGCCTGGGTAGAGGGAGGGGCCCTGGGAGGCTGGGGACTGGAGGACCTGCTCAGGGACTCTCACGCCCAGAGTGACACCGACAGCAGGGACAGACAGGACAAGAGGGACTGGGGGGAGGGCAGGATGGACTGGAATCCCTTTTCATGTAGTGCAGCAGGCGACTCCTCAACACCCACCTCAGACAACAGAACTCAGCAGGGGACCTCACTGCCCCCATCCCTGCGGGGGACCCCTAGGGTGATGCCAGCGCCCTTGGAGTGGGATGAGATGTGTGACAGTGAAGTCATGACATGGGACCTGACGAGGCGTGATAGACGAGGGCACGCAGAGCCCCAGCTCACCTCCCACCCACCTCGAGGCGCATGCAGGGGCCACAGAAACGAGACCAGTGAGTGTCCATGAGGCAGAGTGAGCACGCCATGCCACGACATCCGGCCAGGAATGCACACAGGTGGTGAGGGGCACAAGGGCCATGGACCCCGCCACCAAGTGACTGGGCTGAGCATGGAGTGTGCAGGATGGAGAGAGAATGGGCCAGTGTGAGCCATGGGGGGGGGCGGTTTGCACAAGGGGAGCAGTGCGAAGGAGTGGAGGCCGAGAGCATGAGCATGTGCAATGGCCTGTGAGGGTGGAGGTGAGTGCAAGGCTTTCATGTGAGTGTGCAAGGGGGGTGGGGGACCCGAAGTCACAGGTACGTGAAGCCCCCACTACAGGAGGTTGAGCAAGGGGCTTGCCCCTGTGGCCAGTGAGTGTTCCAGGTGGTGTGCAAGGGTCCCCACGGCTGCCCCACCCTCAGTGGGATGGCGCTTATGCCGGCCCCTTGGCCTCCTGCTTGGCAGCACCCCAACATGGGGGGCATCACAGATTCACCAGGGGAATCCTGAGAGGAAGAGGGAAAGGGCACAGTCAGGACCCAATCGGGGGCCAGATGGAAGGGGAAGTCCACGGCAGAGAAGGGGCTGGAGGCTCAGAGGGCAGAGCTGGAATTAAAGGGCAGCACGAGAATAGGACAGAGCCTGAGACACTGGGAGGAGTGAGGACTCTACAGAGGAGCAGGCCTGGGTCCAGGCAGGAGGAGAGCCAAGGGCTGTGGGGGCCATGCCATCCACCCAGGGAGACCCCACCCCAGCTCTGGAGACCGGGAGCTGTCCCCCTCACCCTCCCGTCCCATCGCCCCTGCCCTCACCGGTTCAACTGGAAGGCTGGAGCCCCCTTGGACTGGGGCATCCCAGGCCGGGCTCCCCCTCGGGACTCCTCATGGTCAGGGGTGGGGGTAGGCGAGTCCCCGAAGGCCCCTAGCACAGTGACTCCGGCAGGGGACAGGTCGGTCAGTGGCTGCTGGCTCTCCTCCTGCCTCAGGGCCCCTTGCTGCCCTGAGGGCCTGCGCCGTTTCTGGCTGCGGTCCCAGCTGGCGGGGCGGGGCGCGGGAGGAAAGACATTCTCTTGCACACAGAGCAGCCCCATCCTTGCCCACAGCACTGCTCACCGTGCCTCACCAGGCAGCTCCAAAACCTTACTGCCAGGACCCTGGCTGCTGGCGAGTCCCTGGGCTAAGTCTGCTGGAACAGACCCCACGGAACTACTCACCACCCCTTACTGGCCTGGGAGTCTAAACCATGCTCCCAGCCCAATCCCCCACCAACGTGGGGTCCCCTAGATTTGCTTCCTCCCACACACATGCCCAAAGAGCCTGTCTCTCTGCTACAGGCCCTGGACAGATTAAGTCCTACTTCACAGTCAGCTAACGACCCAGATACCTAGTCTATGGATCCTGCCCATAAAGTGTCAAGTGTGACTGTGTCCCCAAATTAAATTTGTGCAAAGAAAGTGCCAGGTTTTCTTTTTTGCCTGCTTGCCTAAAAGGCTCTGCAGCTGGCTACTTCCTCTGACTCGGAAGGATGCCTAGAAAGCCCCCAGCTTTCTAGGCAGAAATAATTTCTGTTCCTCCCATTATCCCAGGGCTTCTCCAGGAGAAGAAATCTGCCTGGCTTCTCACTGTCTACCCTCATCACTCTTCCCAAGGTCTTTCCTTCATCCAGTTTCCTACCCCAAGGCCAGAACTGCTGCCCGTAGCCCCTCCCTGCTCCAGTCTGCAAACATTCAGGCCCCACACCTCCTCCCACTGCTTACCAGAACTTGAAGATGATGCCTGTGGCCACGAGAACAATGATGACAGAGATGGTGATTGTGACGTAGAGCTGGGGGTCCACACCTGATGGGGGGGTGTTGCAGGGAGTTCGGTGGGGTCGGGCCAAGGAGTACTGGCACAAGCATCCACATTGTCCAACTCTTTCTGCTCCTCCAGGGCCTCCACCCTCCCACCCTCGTTACCAACAGCTTTCCCCAAGTTTTCAGCTCTTTTCTTCCACTCCCCCAAAGGTTTTTTTATTGTTGTTTTGTGGTACTGGATGTTTTTGTGGATTGAACCCAGGGCTTTAAACACTGAGTTACATCCCCAGCCCTTTTCTAAAATTCTGAGACAGGGTCTTGCTAAATCTCTTAAGTTGCCCAGGCTGGGCTTGAACTTGGAATCTTCCTGCCTCAGCCTCCCAGGCATCCATCACTATGCTCAGTTTCTCCCATATATAAAAGCAATGAGGGAGCTGGGCGTGGTGTTGCACGCCTGTAATCCCAACACTAGGGAGGCTGAGGCAGGAGTATCGCTGTGAGTTGAGGCCAGCCTGGGCTACATAGTAAGTTCAAGCCCACCCTGAACTACAAAGGGAGACCCTGCCTCAACCCCCCCCCCCAAAAGTGATGAGGGGCTGGGGATTTAGCTCAGTGGTTCCACTGCCTGCCTTGAAAGCACAAGGTCCTGAATTCGATCCCCGGTACCGGAAAAAGTGATGAGGATGAGGCCCTGAGACCAGAAAGAACCTAGCTTTCTGAGTTGAAGCAGGGGGTGGGGGTGGGGTGTCCCAGTCTGGGCCCTGGGCCTGGCCCACCCACTCCCAGAGGCAAGATGTCACCCTGGCAGTCCCTTCCTCACGGTGTGCCTCTGCCTGGAATACTCAGTTTTCAAGGTCTATCACGAATGTCATCTCTCACATCTCCCAACATTGGGCTGAGGGTGCCTCTCTGGGAGCTTTACCGTGTTGACTTACCCCTCACCCCCACCCCGAGTGTTTACACTTATGTCTTCTCCGGTCCGGGCTCAGCGGCACCTTCACCTCTGCCCTTGGCTGAGGACGCTCCCAGCCCGACCCCACTAGGCCCTAGAGTTTTGGCCCGCCTTGCCCACCTTGCGCAACCCTCTGCTCCCTCCCACCCTGGCCCTTACCTTCTCCACGCCCCCCGAACAGGAACGGCCTCAAGGTGGCAGGCGTTTCTCCGAGGATGAGCCCGTTTCCATCATCCCGAATGGAGTCTGAGTTGGGATGTGGGGTAGCTAGCCCATGGGGGGCTGCAAAACCATAGTCCAGGGGCAGAAATCCAGGATTGACGGAGTTGGGGTCCCCTCCATCCTCTCGAGACACAGTGGGACCCCACACAATAGCCCAGGGGTACTGGGATGAGGGTGGCCCCTCCTCAAAGCCCGACGGGGTGGCAGGGGGCGCAGTGCCGGGCAGGACCTGCCGCCGCAATCTTGGGACTCGCGGGGAGCGGCTCGGTGGAGGTGCCCGCTCCCACACGCACACGTGACGCGGGGCTGAGGGGCCGCCTCGGGCACACGGGGGGCGGGCCGGGGCTGGGGGCGTCCGGGGGGAGGAGGAGCCCTGAGCGGGCGTTGGGAGGGGCAGCAGCAGCAGTGGCCAGAGGGGGAGCAGGTGGGACAGCAGCAGAGCAGGCCTGCAAGGAGGAGAGAAGGTGAGACCCAGCCCACCGCAGGCCTGCGGGGAGGGCAGGGGCCCGGGCTGGGCCTAGGTGGGAAAGGACCCAGCCCCAGAAAGTGGTCTCCAAGCTCCCCCTGCTGGGCCAAACTTACCACATCCTGGACTCCATGTCTGAGGTCTTCCTCAGCTGTGACCCAATTTTCGGACTTTACTGCGGAAGAAAGGGGTCATCTCGTGTCACACACCCACCCTGCCTGGAGCACCCCCCAGCTCCTGCCCTGGCATCTCCACGGCCACCGCTCCTCCCTGGCTGCACGGCACCGCTAGCCTTTCGCTGTCACCCAGGATCCACTGCTGCTTAGCATCCTTTGGGGGAGAAAGCGCCCAACATGGTCCCCTGAGCACCCCGGTCTACAACTTCCTGGGTCCCTGTTGCCTCCCTGCCCAGCGTCTAGTCTTGCTTCTCTGGCTTCCTTCTCACTTCCTCTGCCCACGGCTCCAGGCTTTTCTTGGATCTTAATTTAGAGCCAAGAACCTTGTGATTCCTTGAGCACCTACCGCTAGCGAGGGAGCCGAGGCGGGGGAGGGAAGAAGCCAGTCCAGTCTGCGGGGCCTGGGGTCTCCCACCCGGCCTGCAGGGAGATCCCTGCATTACCCTCGGAGAGGCCCCAGAGGGGAAGCTTCAGGAGAAGGAAGAGATGCAGGGATGCGAGGAGAGAGAGGCAGGCGGGAGAAAATACAGATAATTCCTGCTCTTAATGTTTAATCATCTAAATGCATAGGTGCCCTCTGACGGAGGAGGAGGAGGAGGAGGAGGAGGAGGAGGAGGAGGAGGAGGAGGAGGAGGAGGAGGAGGAGGAGGAGGCGGCGGCGGCGGCGGCGGCGGCGGGGGCAAGAAGCCGCCCGTCAAATGTCCCTCTCCTGGGTAGAGAGCCTGGGAGAAAGTGGCTGGCTGGCATTGAAAGCGGAGGGTGTGCTGGGAGCCCAGGCGGTAAATGGGGGCAGGCTCCACAGAGGGAACGAGGAGTCCACACTATGTCCACATCTGCACACAGGGCACTCCTAGAGAACAGCACAAGTCTGGGGAAGGGAACAGACCAGTACAGAGTGGGGAGAGGGGAGGTTGTCAAGAAGGAGGAGGAAGCTGGCTGTAGTGGCCCACACCTGTAATCCCAGCACTTTGAGAGGCTGAGGCAGGAGGGTTGCCACAAATCCGAGCCCAGCCTGGACTTCATAGTGAGACCCTGTCTCAAAAAAAACAGAGTGAGGAGAAAGGCAAAGGGCAGCCACCCCAGAGGGCAAGGGGAAGAACCCGACAGACCCAGGACGGCAGAGGATCCTGAAGGGGGAAAGGTCGGGAGGGGACAAGGCGCAGGGGCAAAGGCCAGTGGGAACCGCAGGGTGGACGGCCAAGGAAGGGAGAGGGCAGAGCAGGGACGGGAGAGAGGAAGTGAGCGAGGCGAGAGCCTAATGCCTAAGACAAAATTCCCGGAGGGCAGGACTGGGGGACCGAAAGATGGGAACAGCAAGATGGAGGAGCTGGGAATTGTTTCCTCAGATTGCAGGGATCTGAAGGCTGGTCTGGGGGCGCGGAGAAAGGGGATGGGCTGGGGGAGAAGGAGCGGAAAGCGGCGGGGCGGAGAAGGCTCCCGAGGCCAGGCGCCCGCACCCCAGTCGCCCCTCCAGGAAGCCCGCAGTCCCGGCTGGCGCCGCCCGCACCGCCGCTGCTCACCGACCTGTTGTGCGCAGGAGACGGCTGGGTGGGGCGGTGGGCGCCGGCAAGCCCCATCTCCATCCCGTCCCCTCCCCAGCCCGGGCGCGGCCCCACCGCCTATCCCGGACGCGGGGCAGGGCCAGAGCCGCGCATGTGGGGGTCACGGGCGGCGGGGCCCGGGCGCGCGGGGCAGGGGCCGCGACTGCCGCGGGGGAGGGGAGGGCGGGGGGCCCTGGGAGCACTGGCAGGGCCGGCGCGGCGCCCACTCACCTGCGTGCCCGGCGCGGCGGCGCGAGGACTGCGGGCGCGCGGGGCGGCGCGGGGCGCAGGGGTCGAAGGGGAGGGCGGGGCGCGGGGCATGGTCGGGAGGCTCCGCCGGCCGCGAGCACAGAGCCGGAGGGGCGGGCGCCGGGGCGCGGGGCGCAGGGCGCGGGGCGGCGAGAGATGCTGGGCTCGGCTCGGCTCGGCTCGGCTCGGCTCGGC